TTCTTCATGGAACAGAGGGAGTATTGTTTTCTTGAGTTGTGTTAATAACATCATTTATCTCTATATTTTTAATCTTTTGTATTTCTCAGTATTTGTTAGTTAATTACTACCTCCGTATCATAATAGATGATGTTTTTAAGTTTTTTGTTTTGTTTCATAATAGATTATGTTTATGTCAGGAAGCAACGGTATGCTCCTACAGAAATCGACGATTTTGACAATCGTTTACAAGGTCCTTCTTACACTAATCGAGATTTGATGAATTGGAAATCTCCTACTTAAATGGCTCGAAAGAAGAGAATGCATATTCTGGAAGCAAAAAGGATTCGGAAAGATGTATCAGTAAGTATTTGTGTTTAAATCATTACATCTATGAATTGATCTACATATAAACTTTGGTTTTAGGGAAAATAATGTTTTTCTTATAGTTTTCGTTTCATCAATTTTTGGTTTTACATATGTTTGTAATCTCTTTTATTCTCATAATTGTTTTGTAGATGCTATGATCAGTTCTACATGTGTCGAAGAATTAGTGTATTTAGTGCTGCCACTAGACGTCGACGGGTTAGAAAAGGAACAAGTTCCTTGAATTCTACCAGTGGGTTAATAGGTGCTTTGTCTGATACGTGCGCTGTGGTCGAAGGTTCTAAGTATGGCCTTATGAGCAATGGTATAATATTTACTCGTGTCCCATATGTGATTTCGTCTCCATTGTAACTTAAATATATAGTCTTATATTAATTCAAAAATTACAATTTATTATCGTCTTCTTATTTAATTGTTTTTGTTTTTGATATTTTGATTTATGTTATAGGGTATTACCATCATAGGGATCCTACTTTGTGGTTTGGGAAACGCATAAATAAACGGTCCATACGGTATAAACCTGTATTCACAATGTGTTGCGGACAAGGAAAAGTCGTCCTTCCACGTTTTAAATCACCTCCGAATTCGTTGCTTGCATTGTTTTATAATGATGATGAAAACTATCATTGTATGGGGGATATTCTGCCTCTGCCTGGCAAGTCACCATGTTTTTCACAACTGAGGTTCCAAATAGGATTGCTGCTTATGGGTAGATTGTCTTCTCTCTTCGTATTGGTTAGGAAAACTGGCTCTACTAATGATGTTGGATAAATATACTAAGCCTGTCGAAGGTTTCAGGTCTGTTCGGGAAAGATTTGAAATGAATCCTAATATGGAAGGTGTATAGCTAAGGT